TATACTATATACACTATATCATCACCACACATCCGACACGAAAAAACAATCGGGACTGTTGTCCGCTCACAAGATCTGGGACGGCGCACAATGCTTGTTTAGACTGTCTCCGCCCCAGAGTCATCACATCATAATCTCCCAATAGTGTGTGTGGGCGTGTTGTGCGTAGTGTGTCTGCACTCGCTGTCTGCTCTCTCTACACTGTCGCGCGCTCCCTCTTGTGTTTGCATTTATCATATATCTCACTCGACCGCCTGTGAGTGACTGTGTGTCGTGTGTCGCACACACACACACACACACACACACACACACACACACACACACACACACACACACACACACACACACACACACACACACACACACACACACACACACACACACACACACTGCCTCCACTTCTTAGGCGGCGCTGGGCATGTGCTCATCACCACATACTCGACTCTGCGAACGGCACACACAGACATCCTCGTACGTCATGTGGTGTTTCGGGATGTAGTTCGTTGTGCGTGAGGCAAACGTTGTGCTACAAAGCCACAGTGTCACTTATCTTCGTCACACAACACCACATTCACAACGACTCACGCACACACGCACACACGCACACACATATCTCCACATTCACAAACACATGCGCACACTAACACGCCCACCACCACCGCCGCCACCACGGCAGCCCGAGCGGTGGCACTATGCAGTGCTGGATGAGGGCCACAAGATTCGTAATCCAGATGCGCAGGTCACCATCATCGCCAAGCAGCTCAAGACAGAACACAGGTTGGGGGAGTGGTGGTGGTGGTGGTTGTGTGTGTGTACGTGTGTTCGTGTGTGTGTATGTGTGTATGTGTGTGTGTGTGTGTTCGTGTGTTCGTGTGTGTGTATGTGTGTATGTGTGTGTGTGTGTGTGTGGCTCCTCGTCGCGCTTTCATGTTCATGCTTCTCAGTATTACCACCACCACCACCACCTCGACCTTGCAGGCTGCTGTTGACAGGCACGCCGATACAGAACAATCTCAAGGAGCTCTGGTCCCTCTTCGACTTTGTTCACCCGGGAAGGTGGGGCAATGTCGTGTTAGTGGCTGTAGTTCCATGTGGCCGGTGCCGTTGTGGTGGCTGGTGGTTCCATGTGGTGGTTGTGGTGGTTTGTTGTCTGTCTGTCTGTGAGAAGTGCATGTGCTCGTGCCTCGCCGCACCAAAGTTATCCACGCCTTGCCTGCACGCATTCACGTTTGTTGGTGGTATCATGAATGAATGCCCATCCAGGCTTGGGCAGCTGCCCACGTTCACAAATGAATTCATCACGCCGATGATGGTTGGATCTTACGCCAACGCAACAGAGAAGCAGGTGTGTGTGTGTGTGTGTGTGTGTGTGTGTGTGAATACAGACACGTTCACGTGTGTGTGTGTGTGCCTGTCATTGCATGAAGAGCTGTGTTCCACTGCCTGGCATAAATGCATCCCTCCCTCCCCCCCCCCCAGTCCAACCACCTGCAATTACGCTCAACCATCATCCCCACGACAACGCTGCCTCCGTCTTCAGGTGCACGCTGCGTACCGGTGCGCGTGTGTTCTGCGCGACACCATCCGACCGTGCATGCTCCACCGCTCCAAGGCCGATGTGCAGGCCCAGATTTCCCTCCCGCCACGCAACGAACAGGTGTGCACTCGTGCGTTTGTGCGTGTGTATGTGTGTGTGTGTGTGTCTGTGTGTGTATGTGTGTATGTGTGTCTGTGTGTGTGTGTGTGTCTGTTTGTGTCTGTGTATCTGTCTGTCTGTGTGTGTGTTTGTGTGTGCGAGCTTCTGTCGCGTTCATGCGCCTGCTTACTATCATTATCATCACCACCACCGCCACCACCGCCACCATCACCACACTCATACATCTTAGATTCTGTTCTGCAAATTAACGGACGACCAGCGTGCCCTCTACGAGCACTTTCTTGCATCACGAGGTCACAACTCCGCACACGTGCTTGCATGCACACATTTGGCACAGTGTTGACTTGGTGTGTGTATGTGTGTGTGTGTTCAAACATCGGCCTCTCCGTACATGCGCTTAGCCGAAATCACACCCACTCACCACAGTCTCACTGTGCGCGCTGTTCATGTGTGCATGTGTACAGACGTCGGCGAGATTCTACGTGGGGAGCTGACGGCATTCCACGGCATTGACCTTCTGCGAAAGATCTGCAACCACCCGGACCTTGCCCCGTCGCTCGCCGACCCGCCAGACTACTCAGACCCAAGGTGGATTGTGGGTTGGAGATTGCGTTGGTGGTGGGTGGTGGTGATTGGTGGTGGGACATGAAAGAAGACAGCCATCTTATCCTTTTTGTTGTCGTTCAAGACTCGCTCGTGCTGACACTTAACACACACACACGCACGCACACACACACACACACACACGCACACACACACACACACACACACACACACACACACACACACACACACACACACACACACACACACACACACACACACACACACACACACACACACACACACACACACGCACGCACACACGCACGCACACACAAATTCACACATGCACCGTCCCCTCCTCTGCCACCGCTGCCAGTGTGCCGCTGCCGTGGGAGAGGTCTGGGAAGATGATTGTTCTTCGCCAGCTCCTGCGCATCTGGTTCCAGAAGCAGCACAGGTGAGGCATGAAGTGCACGGATGGTAATGATGGTGGTGACGGCGAGAAAGGTGGTGACTGGACGTGCTGGTGGTGTGATGGTGGTGGTAGTGTGTTTGAGGGGACAAGGCATGAAGAATTGCGTGCATTTGCTGTCTCTGTGTTGAATGCGTAATCATCGTCACCATGACCAAATCGACTTCGGTCACCGCTCCTTGCACCCCCTCTACACGTTCATTGCCGCCACCACCGCTGCACTGCAGGGTGCTGCTGTTCTGCCAGACGCGCCAGATGCTGAACATGCTTGAGAGCTTCATCAAGTATGAGCACTACACCTACCTCCGCCTCGACGGCACAGTCAGGTTGGCTGCCGTGTGCGTGTGCATGTGTATGTGTGTGCGTGTGTGTATGTGTATATATGTGTGTGTGCATGTGTATGTGTGTGCATGTGTATGTGCGTGTGCGCTTTTTCGCAAACGAGTTGACGTGCAATGTCAAGGCGCAAATGGATGCTCTCACCAGCACCACGGCCACCATCATCGTCATCACCACCACTTGTACTTCCATCAGTGTGAAGCAGCGGCAGCCGCTCATCCGCTATTTCAACGACAACCCGGAGGTCTTCATCTTCATCCTCACAACCCGGTGAGCACGAGGCACTGATGACGATGGTAGTGATGATGGTAGTGATGATCGAAGACTCAAGTATGTGTATGCTGCTGTTGTTGAGCATTCCTTGCGAGCTCACAGCACTATCAGCCGTAAATGTTCGCGTCAATACTCATCACCACCACCACCACCATTGTACCACCATCGATCACCACCACCGCTAGCACGGGTGGGCTTGGCTTGAATCTCACGGGCGCAGACCGCGTGATCATCTTCGATCCAGACTGGAACCCTTCCGTCGACGTACAGGTGACCATGATGATGATGATGATGATGATGATGATGATGATGATGATGATGATGATGATGATGATGATGATGATGATGATGATGATGATGATGATGATGATGATGATGATGATGATGATGATGATCAGAACCTTTTCTCTGCACGGCTGCATGCATGTGTATCTGTCATGTCTTCCACCACCACCCCCACCCCCACATCACCAAGTCCATCACAATGCTCACCGGATTCCCACCACTTGTTGTTCGTTGTGTGCAGGCGAAGGAACGGGCGTGGCGCATTGGGCAGCAGAAGCCCGTGACCATATATCGTCTCCTCACCGCCGGCACCATCGAGGAGAAGATCTACCACAGACAGGTCGAAGGGGCGGTGATGGTGATGGTGATGATGATGATGGTGGTGATGATGATGTGAGGTGGTCACCATGTGGTGGTTGTCACGATGTGGTGGTGGTGGTGTGGTGAGGAGGATTCACACACACGCACACACACACACATGATGCCCAACGTTCCATTTCAACCACACCAGGTGTTTAAGCAACTGCTGACGTTCAAAGTGATGAAAGACCCGAAGCAGCGCCGATTCTTCAAATCCAGCGATCTCCACGAACTCTTCGTATTGGGTAATGTGCACACGATGATGTGTGTGTGTGTGTGTGCATGTGTGTCTCTGCCTGTCTGTCTGTGCACCCCTTGATAAAACAACTCATCATTGTCGCCACTACCACGATCACCCCCACCATTCCATCACCACGGCAGGCGACGCTGCTCACGACACGGAGACGGGCGACCTTGCGAGCCAGCTGTCGGGCCAGGACGTGGCCGTGACCCGAGCCGATATGGAGCGAAAGGCAGCAGGAGGAGGAGGAGGAGGAGGGATGGGGAAGAAGGAACAAGCGGAGGAGGCGAAGGAAAGGCAGAAGGGGGAAAGGGCGAATGGGAAGGGCGAAGAGGAAGAGACAGGTGGTGGTGGTGGTGGTGGTGGAAAGGGGCAGGGAAGTGGGAGAGGCGTGGAAACAGCGAGCAGTGTCGGGAGTGTGCAAAGTCCAGCCTCTCTTGATCGTGGTGGTGACGGTGGTCACCAAGAAGTGGAAAAGGACAAAGAGCATGATGAGGACAGCACCATCCGAAGCATTCCACAGCTGGTCAGCCGCTGTGTTGTGTTGTGTTCATTTTTGCTTCGTGTCCATGCGTCCATGTGTATGCATGTATGCATGTGTGTGCATGTGTTTGTGCGTTTATATGTGCGGGAGTTGCGTTGCGTTGCGCTGGCCCAGCGTGCCAGCTGTTTCGCTTGCTCACATGTTCTTCCATCGATGCCTTGGGTGTGGCTACCATCGCTCACTTGCTGTAGGCCCGTGTGGATGTGCGAGTTGTTCGCGATGACCAGCGCAAGGACAAGCAGGCGCCCCCCTCTGCCACCACAACCACCTCCTCATCGTCCTCCTCATTGTCGTCGTCGTGCAGCAAGGCACCGGTGAGGAGCAAGCGGGTGTTTGGACGCGTGCGCGCACCGCCAATGACAGCGCCGTCACCGCTGTCGCACCGAACCCTCAAACCAGCAACAGCAACAGCATTATCATCGTCGTCATCATCATTATCGCCAACGGCAACACCGCCACGGTCCTCCTCAGCCACTGGCGCACCCGCAACAATGCCAGCGTCATCGTCATCATCATCGTCATCGTCATCAGCCACCGCGTCGTCTGCGAGCGGGGTGCAACAGGACCTGAAGAGCGACTTTGTGCTGCGCCAGCTGTTTGAGGGGACGGGGATACACAGCGCACTTGAGCACGACCGCGTGATGCACTCGACGGCGTCTGGTCGCGTTATCAGCACACGCGAGGCAGAGAGGATTGCGCAACACGCCCTGGACACGCTCAGGCGGGAGCAGGAGCAGGCAAAGAAGCAGCGGTGGGTGGCGGTTGAGTTATGGTTTGGGGGTGAGTGCGTGGTGGTGGTGGTGGTGGAGGAGGAGGTCATGGCGCTGGTAGTGGTGGTGATTGTACAGTAGCTGCTGGTGGTTGCGATCATGTGAGTTTGTACCTTGTTTCCCTTGTTTCCCTTGTTTCGGGTGTTTACCCTCATATTGACGTCCACCCTCCCTTGGTTCTTTGCATCTGCTGCAGTATTGGGACGGTCACGTGGACAGGCAAGTCGGGCCAGCGATTTGGACAGGTGATAGTGTTATGACACGACGATGTTGCTGTTGTGATTGCTGTTGCTGTTGTTATTGCTGTTCACACACACACACACACACATTCACACAAAACACACACTCTCTCTTTCTCCCTGCGTTCCTCCTACAATGCAACTGCAGGTGTCTGCTGCAAAGCGGTTTGGCGGAGGAAGAAAGACATTTGGTGCTGGTGGTGCTGGTGGTGGTGATGGAACAAGTCCCAGCAGTAGCGGTGATGGTGATGGCCGTGGCCGTGGAGACACCACGGGGTCACGCGGCATTATGGCGCAGATCAAGAAGCGGAAGCAAGGTGGGATGCTAGTGTGTGTGTTGGGGGGGGGGGTGCATGCATGTGTGTGTGTGTGTGTGTGTGTGTGTGTGTGTGTGTGTGTGTGTGTGTGTGTGTACATGTGTGTGTGTGTTGGGACTGCGAGTGAGGACAAATGCACATGCACATCTTGAAAACATGCTTCACTCACGCACTTGCTTCTACACTGGCCCACATATATACTGTACACACGCAGATGTGAGTGCTGCGCACGCGTCCGAGTTTGCTGTTCCGCTGCTAAAGGAGATTCGACAGTTTATCAAAGAGAAAGGTGCTGCTGCCATGATGTGCACGTCCTCGTTGTCGTGACGTGACGAAGGCTTGCTTTGTTGCTGTACGATCTGCACGTTTGGCATTGAGCCACGACACTCACGCACTCGCACACGTCAAGTGCGCGAACACACACACACACACACACACACATACACACACACACTCTCTCTCTCTCTGCCTCTCTCATTCTCTACAACCACACACACACACTACAACCACACACTCTCTCATACACACACATGCACACACATGAATCAGGTGGGCGTGCGTCGACACAGGCGTTGCTGGACCACTTCAACAAGCGCGTTGCCGGGAGCAGACAGGCCGTCTTTGTTCGCCTGCTGCACAGCACGTGCACCTTCTCCCGTGTTGGCTCAAAGGGCTACTGGAGCATTAAGCCAGAGTAGAACACAATGCGTTGTGTGTGTGTGTGTGTGTGTGTGTGTGTGTGTGTGTGTGTGTGTGTGTGTGTGTGTGTGTGTGTGTGTGTGTGTGTGCATTTGGAGTGGTGTTGTCTTTCCGCTCCTTCGTCGTCAGCGCCGCGTCCTCGCGGAAGGAAACGGCTGCCCCTTCCTCGTCCACCTCGAGGCCGCCTTCCAGGTCACTAGCAGTGGTCATGGTGTGAACATGTGGGTGTGTGGGCATGTCTGCGTGCTCATCTGTGTATCTGTGTCTGTGTGTTGGTGAATCGGTGCCTCGTCAACTTGTGCAATTTCCTCCAACCCCTCCCCCCTCTCTCCTCCTTTCTCATCCATCTCCATCCCCATGCATCACTGTTGGGTTTCGCTGCGCAGTCGAAGGACCGCCTCTTCTTCGTGATGGAATTTATTTCCGGTGGCGATCTCATGTTCCACATCCAGGTCCGTCCCCCCGTGGTGATGGCCGTGTGTGGGGGGGGGGGGTTTGCAACAACGGTGGTGTGGTGATAGATACCCTTGCCCTTCATTCACGTGTGTGTTCATTTTGCATTCCCCATGCAACCTGTCCACCGCCATCCTGTCCTTCACCACCGTCCTCTCTGAAATCACCATCGCCACCAACACATCATCATCATCACCACCATCATCATCATCACCACCATCAGCGTCAAGGCCGCTTTGGCGAGATTGCGACTGCATTTTATGGTGCCGAGATCCTGGAAGGACTCTGGTTCCTCCACGACCGCGGCATTGTCCACCGGTCAGTCGTACATTGCTGGTGCTGGTGCTGGTGCTGGTGGTGGTGTTCGTTTCAGTACATCGCTGCTGGTGGTATACGTTTTGTGTCTTTGTTTCTTTGGTTGTGTCCCTGGTTCGCGTTGAGTTGTAACATGGTATGCCCGCTCGCTCAACTCGTCACCTTGTCCCTCAATCCACCACGACCACCGCTCAATTCACCGCCACATTGGCCATTGCGCTGTGCAGTGATCTGAAGCTCGACAACGTCATGCTGGACCAGGACGGCCACATCAAGGTGACGACGCCCCCCCCCCCTTTCCTCCTCATGCACTGCCGTTGCTTGCAGGCATCCCTCGTTTGCTCGCGTGCACGTGCGCTGCTGGCCCCGTTGTACCTTGATCTTGTCCCTCTCGCGCCACTGACATCGCGCCTCCCCCCCCCTCTCTTCCCTGCGTCCCTCCTCCTCTCCCCTGGGGCAACGGTCGAGCAGATCACGGACATGGGCATGTGCAAGGAGGGCATGCTGCCGGACCAGACGACCGGCACATTCTGCGGCACCCCAGGTACGCTGCTGGTCGTGGTGGTCGTGGTGGTGGTCTGCTGTGCTCAGCAACAGTGGCAGTTGTCACCCACGTGCTGCTGTGCTTATGCATCTTCACGTAACTCCCCTCACGCCATCTGCCATCACATCACATCACCACTCCCCTTGTACCTTTGCCCCTCCCTCCTTTTTTTTGGTTCCAACAGACTACATTGCGCCCGAGATCATCCACGGGATGCCGTACAACAAGTCTGTCGACTTCTGGGCGCTCGGTGTGCTGCTGTATGAAATGCTCATTGGCCGCCCTCCGTTTGACGGCGCTGACGATGACGAGTTGTTCGACAACGTCATTGCAAAGGACATCCGTATTCCCAGCGGTGTCCCCACCGCCGCAGCCTCCCTCCTCCGCGGGGTACGGCAATGATGCTTGGTCGTGGTGGTCGTGGGGTGTCTGTCTGTCTGTCTGTGTATGTGTGTGTCTGTGTCTGTGTCTGTGTCTGTGTCTGTGTCTGTGTGTGTGTGTGTGTGTGCCCGTCTCTCTTGTCTGCCTGCACTGTCTGTCTTTTCCCTTGCACAACACGCGTCTGCCGTCACGTTGCACGCAAACCACAATCACAACTCACCTCACATGCGTTCACCGCTCATTCCTCTTCCCCCCCCCCTTTTTTTTTTGTCCTTCAAACACCTCTCCCTGTCTCTCCCTGCCAACAGCTGATGCAGAAGCGCCCCTCCTCGCGTCTTGGCTGCGGGCCATCGGGCCGGCGTGACATTATGGATCACCCCTTCTATCGCCACATGGACTGGGACAAACTCAAGGCCAGACAGGTGCGCCGACTCGATGCACCGGGTGGTGGTTGTCGTCGTCGTTTGTTGTTGTTGTTGTTCTTGTTCTTGTTGTTCTTGTTCTTGTTCTTGTTCTTGTTCTTGTTGTTGTTGTTGTTGTTGTTGTTGTTGTTGTTGTTGTTGTTGTTTGTGGTGGTGGTGGTGGTGGCGGTGTGCACATGACTGCCCGCCTGTTGTCTGCTGGCCCGTGTCACTATGTGCACCCTCCTTGATACGTTTTACTTCTTGTGTTTCGTTTATTGCCTGACTCTGCTGTACTCATTCACCCGCTCCTCCATTGCCAACATCAACCATCACCCCCACCCACGTGACATCACATCAGGTGAAGCCCCCATTCAAGCCCCCTTCGTCTCGGGATCCAACAGCCAACTTCGACCGCGAATTCACGCGCGAAAAGGTGCACCTCACCCCAATCCCAAAGGCTGCCATCAAGGACATCGACCAGAAGGTGTGTGTGTGTGTGTGTGTGTGTGTGTGTGTGTGTGTGTGTGTGTGTGTGTGTGTGTGTGTGTGTGCGTGTGTGTCTGTGTCTGTGTCTGTGTCTGTGTCTGTGTGTGTCTGTGTCTGTGTCTGTGTCTGTGTGTGTGGGTGTGTGTGTGGGTGTGTGTGTGTGTGACTGCCTGTCTGTGTGTGTGTCTGCCTTGTCTACCTTGTCTACCTTGTATGTCTGCCGTTCTGCCCCCTTAATTTTCGACCTCCTTCGCCCCCTCCCACTGCCTCTTTCGACTCCATAAACTTTGCAGGCGTTTGCGGACTTCGACTTTGCGGTGCCGCAGTGATGTGATTCAAACCACCGTCGTACTTGCACTCCTCCTCGCCTGCTGACAGTACGTCTGCTCTCTCCGACAACCACCCCCTCAACCATTGTCTTGCTGCGCGGGTTTGTTGGCTTGCTGCTTCGTTGCGTTGCTCTTTTGTTCTTCTTCCTACTTTGCTGCGTGAGACCACACCGCTTCTCTCAAGCAGCAGCACCACAACCTCTGTTGCCCGCACTTGGCGTGTTGCCCCCTGTTCTTTCGTGTCCTTCCTGTCATCGTTCCATCCCCAGTCGCCCTTTTGTCTACCTTCACACCTGTGTTGTTCTTGTTGATTCGTTCTTGATCTTCTTGGTCTTGTTGTTGGTACGCACCACGCGCCTCCTTTTGCCGGTGCACGTGTGTCTTGTTGCATTCTTCTTGGTCTACCTGACTGGTCGTTCCCAGAGTTACATACAGTGCAACTTGCGCGCAACCAACTCACAGCAAGCAACATGTAACGACACGCAAGCAAGGAAGCAAACAAAGTCGTTGTAACAGCATGCGAGAAGCATTGTTAACGATGATGTTGGGAGCATGCATGAAATGAAATGAATACACGTTCCTCCTCCTCCATCTCAACTCTGGCACTCGCTCACTCCAGCTTGAGTGCGTGTGCATAGAGCTTCCCGTACAAATCAACTGCGTGCTGCAGCTCAGCCTGGATCTCCTGCCAGTTGTAGTGCTCGTGGTGGTGTGGAAGCGTGCACACGTCCGCCTTCATCGCAGCCACCACCTCTGCCACGCTCGGCGCGGGCTTCCGGTGCTCGCGTTTCTGCAGTCCCGTGGAGCGCAGCGCATCGTCGTGCCACCCGGGCCACGTGTTCCACGCCTCCACGGGGCCGGGCTCCCACGTGAGCATGCCGGCGTCGTACGGCAGGCCGGTCGCTGCGCAGTACGCGCGCATCATTCCACTTGGATCCAGCAAGAGGTCGTCTGCATCCACAATCACGACAGCAGGTGGTGGCGACGACGATGGCGACGACGAGGATGCCTGCTGTGCGTCACTGCCTGGCACCTGGTCACCGTCCGCCCCGTCCTGTTGTTGCTGCTCCTCTCGGTGGTTGAGAACAAAGTCGGCAATGTCGTACAGCTCGCGATAGCCGAGATCACGAACGTCGAAGAACGTCCAGCCCGTGCTGGCGTTGGGGGCGCCCGTGTCGGGCTCACACCGGCTCTTCGTCCACAGCGACAGGGCCGTCTTGCAGGGGTGGCGCATCAGGAGCGTGTGCTGAAAGCCGCGAAGGTATTTGGCGTTCATCTTGTTGCGCAGGTAGTAGGCCATGTCCTTTGAGAACACCGTGTGGAAACCCGGATAGTCGGCACGCAGCGCTGCAAGCACGCCATCAAAGGTGTCCATGCCAGGCGCGAACCCAACGGCCTCCGGTGTTTGTGCCTCGGGTGGGTGATCGGGCGTGACCACACCTCCTTGCTGCTTGTCTGCCTGATCTGCGCCCTCTTCCTGCTTCCGTTGCCGCTGCTGCTGCTGCTGCTGCTGTTGTTGTTGCCACCTTGTGGTGTGCTCGTGCTGCAACGCGAAGCGAGGGTGAACGCGATCCGCGCCGTAATAAAACGGGTTTCCGTAGGGCTCATGGAACACCTTCACCCCCTCTACGCCGATGAAGCAGCGCTCAAACGCTGTGCTCACGCATCGCGGGCACGTCCACAAGATGATCCGCCGCATCGTGGTGTTTAACCGAGTGCGTGGTGTGTGTGTGTGTGTGTGTGTGTGTGTGTGTGTGTGTGTGTGTCTGTGTGTGTGTGTGTGTGTGTGTGTGTGTGTGTGTGTGTGTGTGTGTGTTGTGTGTGGGTGGGTGTGTGTGGGTGGGTGTGTGTGTGTGTGTCTGTGTGTGGGTGGGTGTGGGGGAGAGGGAAATGGAAGGTGATCACCTTCCGTCGGCCGAGAAAATCAATGGAGAACATTCACAACTTCTCTACAATCGCCATCTTTCAGCTGACAGCCACTCGCTCGCGTTCACTGACACCACCTCTGACACACCAACCATGAGCGAGACTGATGCCAAGCGTCCCAAGACCTCTGGTGTGTGTGTGTGTGTGTGTGTGAGTGTGTGTGTGTGTGTGTGTGTGAGTGTGTCTTTGTCTGTGTGTCTGTGTGTCTGTGTCTGTCACTGCCTCTGCCTCTGTCCTCATTTCCTGTCTGTGTCTGTATGTATGTGTGGAAGTTGTACACCTCGTTTGTGTCGTTTCCCACAAGCTGCAACGCCATCTGACTCGGTGACGTGCGCACCCACACGCAAACGCCCTTTTGCTGTTCCAGAGGAGGAGGTTGGCGAGTACGAGAAGCTGGAGCAGGCCGTCGCCTTTATCCAGTCCAAGGTGAGAGACTACACAATGGTGTTGAACGCGATTGTGTGCTACACGCAGGCACTGCAAAGATAACAGGAGCCATTCAGCAATGCGCACGACTCCCCATCACTCATGCGCACACCGCTGCATGACGTGACATGAATGATGTTGCATTTTGGCTGCAGTTCCCCACGAAGCCTGTGATTGGCATCATCTGCGGATCTGGTCTCGGTGGGCTCGCCGATCTCGTCAAGGAGCCAACGCGCCTCACCTACTCCGAGATCCCGCACTTTCCCACGAGCACTGGTGGGCTGGTTGCCTGTGTATGGGTGGGGGTACCTCTGTGTGTGTGTCTGTGTCTGTGTGTCTCTGTGTGTGTGTGTGTGTGTATGCGTGTCTGTCTGTGTGTCTGTCTGTGTGTCTGTCCTTATGCTTGGCTGTGTATGTGCGCGGTAGCCTTTGCGATCCACCTTCCACTCAGAGCAAGTTCTCAGTTTCTACACTGCTTCATTCAATCCCTTTCTTCACACCCATGCTCAACGTCCACCATCCCTCCCCCCCCCCTGTAGTTGCCGGTCATGATGGCAGCCTCATCCTCGGCGAGCTCGGCGGCGCTCCCGTCGTCGTCATGAAGGTCTGTACTCGTTGCACTGTGTAAGCTGGCGATCGCGATGAACGTGGTGTCGGTACCTTGCAAGTGTGCTGTGGCAGCGACAGTAATGGCTTACCTCGTGGAACAGCAATCGTCGGGCTCACATCCTTGTATGTGTTAATGTGTGTGTGCGTGTGTGCGTGTGCGTGTGTGCGTATGTGTGTGTGTGTGTGTGTGTGTGTGTGTGTGTGT